TAGGTACAAAGTCCTCTGCGTTTCTGCATGTGAAAGCAGCACACAATCTGAAGAGCTCACCACAAGCCTTATCCGCTGCCTTCAGACATTGTGTTTCGGGCTTGAAATTCTTCATGAGAATGTCTCCTCAGGTCTTAACTGCATCTGTGTGCTGCAGTGCCAGCTGCCCGTCCCGAGTAACATCAGCTCTTGCGGTTAAGAGCTGGCACTTTTCAAGATTCAGTCCCACTTGATCGACCATTTGCCTTCCGCTCCTACATAGCACTTCAGATTTGTTCCGGATACTTTCACATCGTCTGTGAACATGAATTAAGGATTTTGGAGATCCCGTGTCAAGTCTCTGATGTAACTTTGAAATAGTAGTGGTACTTGAATTGATCCTTGAGGTACCTTGCTTGTTACTCTTGCAGGTTTGCTTAGAAAGTCACCAACTTTCACATTGTCCCCTGTAATTCTGCATCTTGTAGCTGGCGGTATAGCAACTTATGGCTGACTGAATCGAAGGCTTTGCAGAAGTTGAGGTAGCAGACTTCGACCTGCTTTTTAGTAACCTCATCCAAAAAGGTGAGCAGGTTAGTCAGGCACGATTTTCTCTCGGTAAACCTATGCTGCACTGATTCTAAGAGGTTGTGACTGGTTAGGTTCTAAAATATTTGTCCCTTGATGATCTGTTCCAAGTATTTGGACAGGACGGATGTCATTCTCACTGGTCGGTAGTTACTAACCTTAGGCCTAGGTCCTGACTTGCATACAGCAACAACAATTGCTTTATGCTAGTACTCTGGTAATACGCCAATACTCAGGGATTGCTCAAAAAGGATGGTTACCGGATGTCAGCTGGAATGTCAACAATAGATGATCACTTTTGCCCAGTGATTCTTCTACTCTCGTTTTGCTTACATTCGACGAGTACCTTGTTATGACTAAGTTCAAGATGGACGGCCCCTGTTGCTCCCTCGATTTTGCAGCCTGCGTAACGTGTATCCATTCCAGGAGAGTTCCACCTGTAGACCCACTCTTTGCACGTGATTTGATTCAGTCGATCTCCGGAGGTCGAAGTCTCCAACTATTAGAACCCTTTGGGACTGCGAAAGGAACGCTTGCATGATTTCCAGCAGTTCAGTGTCCTCAATCGATATTGCTTGCGGTGCTCTGTACACATAAAATATTCCTAGTGGTCTCCTACCGAAGATCGAGTTGCATTCTACTGCCTGGATATTATGTGTGGCTAGGGTGGATGGTGCATTCTAATGGTTCATGTTAGTCCTAACCAACATCAGCACTCATCCGCATTGTCTGTTATCCTCCATATCGTGCTTGTATACGGCATAGTTGTGAGGGCAGTTAATGAAGT